AATTGGCGTCAAGGGTTTAAAATGGCTCCCGTTGGGGGGGGGGGGGGAGCTTATAAATATGTCAAGGCAACCCTGTGTATCAAAATCCTTTTCATTCCAAAATTTCATTTACTCACATTGCACGATTTGACTGTCCAATCCACCAAGGGACAACACAATGACCAAGGTTCTTCTTACTGGTGAGCAGTGAATTGGAGAGTCTGGCGGTAGGAATGTAGGAACTGATAATCATCGACTTTTTTTTAGGCGGCTCGGGCTTCATAGCTGGTAGGTTCATCCCCCCTCGATTCAAAGACAACCTCATGAAAGCATCCAAGAGGTTATTGCTGAAAAGTGAAAAACAACGGAGATGGCGCAATCCCCCCCTCTCCCCACTCATCCATTGTCATTCCCGTGATGCCGCCAGCGGAAAACAACCACACTGGAGCCCAGATAACGCCATACTAACCTCGCGGTGATGCGATAGCCCACATCCTCGACCAGCTCCTGAGCAAGGGCCACACGGTCATCACAACCGTCCGGTCTGAGCAAAAGGCGAAGCCCATACGCGACGCCTACAAAGACAAGGGCAGCCAGCTGGAAGTCGTCGTAGTCGGCGACATCGCAAAGGACGGCGCGTTTGACGAAGTAGTCAAGAAGCCGGGTCTCGAGGTGGTTTTGCACACGGCCAGCCCGTTCCACTTCAAATGGAGTAAGTCGATTCCGACAAAAAAAATAAAGGGACAGGACACGGCCCCGGCAGCTACAGCATGAGTTCCAGCAACAACCACTGACAAGAGGTCCAACACGCCGTAGCCGACGCCCAAAAGGAACTGATTGACCCAGCCGTGATCGGCACAACCGGCATCCTCAAAGCCATCAAGAGGTCCGCGCCGACCGTCAAGCGCGTCGTCGTCACGTCCTCGTTCGCCGCCGTCCTGGACGAGAAGCGCCTCTCTGACGCATCTCACACCTTCACCGAAGAGTCCTGGAACCCAGTCGGGACGCAAGACCTTCACTCGTCCCCGGCCACGGCGTACCGCCTCTCCAAAACGCTGGCCGAGAAGGCGGCGTGGGACTTTGTCGCCCGCGAGAAGCCCGGCTTCGACCTGGCCACCATTTGCCCGCCGTTGGTGTTTGGCCCCGTCGCGCACCACCTGGCCTCCCTCGAGAGCATCAACACGTCCAACGAGCGTGCCGTGGCCCTCGTCGGCGGCGGCTGGAACGACGGGATTCCCGCGACGGGCCCCGTCACCGTCTGGGTCGACGTGCGGGACACGGCGCTGGCGCACATCCGCGCCATGGAGAGGCCCGAGGCCGGCGGGAGGCGCCACCTGGCCATTGGGGGCAGGTTCAGGAACCGTGACATTGCCGAGATTGCGTGGGCCGCGTTTCCCGAGCTGGGGGATAAACTGCCCAAGAAGGACGTGGAGGGCGGAGGGGCGCCGCCCGCCAGCGAGAATTTCAAGTACAACAACGACGCGACCACCAACGTCTTGGGCATGAAATGGACCAGCCTGGAGTCGAGCATCACCGACCTGATACGGTCGCTCAAGGAACACGGCATCTAACAAAAGAACCAACCACCGGGCAAAAGGGCAACGAGGGCATGGAATCCAATCAAAAATTAGCATCTCTAGACGGCCCGGTTTTATTATACAACAAGAGGTTTGAAAAAAAAAAAAAAAAAAAAAAAAAAGACTATTTCGCCAAACGAATGCCATTACCATGTGTGGTGAACCGTATCCCGTGGTCCTACAATGCCAATGCCAATGCCAATGCCACGGCATCGCAACCCAACGCACCCCAAATGCCGTGTTTCATACACCAATGCGTACATGTCTCATATTCCATTACTTCATGCTCCTCTCAGCATCATGAAATGCCACATCAATGTCAAAATACAAAACGGTTGATAGTTTCCTGTCAATGAATAAATACATCACCTCCTAAAAGGCGAGTACGTGCCGCCCAGTCTCTCCATGTCCTTCTCATCCAAGCGCGGCCTCTTCTCCCTCCTCTCCTCCGTCGTGGGCGACCCAATGGCTACCCCAATCTCCTCTGGACGAACGTGGTCCACTTGCGAGTCCAACGGTGGCGACAGCGGGTTGACCTGCCAGTACTTGAAGGGCGGAGAGGGGAGCGCCCGCGTTGGCGGGGGCCCCGGCGACACGAGGCCGTTGACCGGGCTGGGGATGCCGCTCTTTGGGGTCCGCGGTGGAGTCGCCCCGGTCCCTTGGAGGGTAGACGTGGTGGATGTTGATGCGGCTGGCTTATGAGTCTTGATTGGCGGTGGTGCTGTCCTCGCAGGAAAGAGGTTGTACTGATGATTGCGGCCCGGCGCTCGCAAGTCTGGAGGTGGTGCATGGCCGTGCGTTTGCGCATCGTCCACATGATAGGACGGCATGTCTTTGACAGAGGGTATGTTTCCCAGGCTCGAGGGTTTTCCCCAGCGCGTGTGATGCGAGTTTCGCGACGGCCTGACGTCGATGGAGCCCTCGCTCCTCGTTATCTGATGGAACTTTCTCTCGCCAAGTCTCGGAGGGGGCCTCAGCTCGTCTAGCCCAACGTCGTTTCCGCCTCTGGCTGGGATTTCGTTTCCCGGGGCCATTGGCGGCGACGAGGCTGCCACTTTGGGAAACGGCGACGCGAGACCCGGCGAGTTTAACACGGTTGAACTGGCATTCACACTGAGGCCCTTTTTGTCGCTCTCCATGGGGGAAGAAGGCTGGCCTCTTCTTCTTCTTCTTCGCCGGCGGAGCTGCATGTTGATGAGAATGACGACCAGACTGACTGCTACGACGCCGGCAATTGTGCCCAGGACAATGGTGACAATGACGGCAGTCGATGTAGATGCGCTGGATGGTGTGTTGGAAGGGGTGGCAGTGGGGGTGATGGTGCTGGGCAGCAGAATACCAAGTGAAGGGTCTTGGATATACGTGCCGGCGGCGGTGGAAGGGGAGGGAGACGGAGGCGGGAGTTGGCGGTTTTGAAGGGCGGCGGATGGTGTTTGTGTTGTTTGTAGGGTGGACGATGAAAGAGTTCGAGCATGCTTGCTTGTTGCTGTTGCTGTTGCTGTTGTTGTTGTTGTTGTTGGGCCGGGCGGCGTCGTCGACTTACATGGATGGCCCTGAGCGGTGTGGTGGTGCGGTGACAATGACGGAGGAGGTGGTGCTTGCTTTGGTTCCGTATCCGTATCCGGCGAGTGTCGAGCACTCGGCTGGAGCGCTGAGTGGCCGGAGAGGCTATTTAGACCTTTTGTTAGAAGGTTCAAGGACGGATATGGAGTATGTATTAAGTGTCGACGAACCGCTTCAAGGTGGCAACGAGACTTTGGGCGGGTGTATCGCGCACCATCGAGTCCAATTGACGATGGCAGGCGCCGCAGTCTGCCCGTTGAGTAGAGCAGCTTGCTCGGCGCGTGCAACTGCTGCTGCGGTTGTTCTCGTCCTGGGCTTGTTGTTGGTTCTTGCATCTGCAGATGCCGTCGTGCGCACCAACGCCGACATTAACTGGCGAACAAAGAGAGTCGCAACCATGACAACCAACACTCGCACCGGCCGGCGAAGACGACGACGCTCGCACCGGCGTTTTGCTGTCCCTTGGACGACGCATAAACTCGCGCGTGGCTGTGGCTCGACTCCCCCTTCCCGACGCTGCTCTTACACGCCCACATCCGCAGGGATGAGGTCTCGGCGTCGCCCTGGCCATCGCCTGATGGTCCCCCATGACAGATTTCGTCTCCACGAGGCGATCCCCGCCGACAGATGCCATCCGAAGCCGAAATGCAAAGGCTGGGAAGGGGGGAGGGACTCTCCCGAGCTGCGCTCTTTTGCTTTTGCTTTTCTTTTTCCTTTTCCCCCTAATTTTTCGCTTGCCATCTGCTTCCCATGGGGGCACTACCAGTGTCTTGATGGTTGGGGAGGGGGGATCCACAAAGTGTGAAGAGTCAAGACCGAACAAGGTGAGGGACTCTTCAAACCGAAACGGCGTCAAAAAGACTACTTCCGGGTTTGATGTGAGAAAGGGCGCCCGTCTCCCGGCCAGCGAAGCGGTAATAGAACCAAGTAGAAGCGGAGGCGGCGGAGGAGGAAGAAGAAGAAGATTGAAGAAGAATGAAGAGAAATGAATGTAATAAAGGCAAACAGGGACAAAAAAAAATAGAAAAGGACCAAGGCAAGGTTATCTGGTTCGCAACTCCACGCAGGATGGCTTGCTTTATTGTTTAATTTCCAGATAACCAGAGCCGCATAAATTATACACGGAGCGGCCGGCAAGGGAACGAACGACGGACGACTCGTAGGCCCTCCCGCAACCCGCCACCTATTATTTATTTTATTTTTATTCTTCGCCCGCCGAGTCAGTGTGAGGAGAAAAACGTGGCAGGACGCATTATTCGTGCGCAAGGGGGGGATAATAAAGGCCTTGTAACAGATTTTTTGACGTGCCTGGTTTCCTGGATGCTCTTGGGGTTTCGCCAAAACAGATTGATTCTATGCAACGGGCTTGCGCCGGATGGAATCAAGGCGAAAAGGGCAGTTTTTTTCCCTATCGTATAAGGTGTCACGAGGAGCGGTGACGAGGGTGAAGGGCAAGAGACAGAATAAAAAGACGAGGATGCATTGAACAGCCCCCTCCGAGGGACAAGAAATAAATCAAGAAGAAAAGAAGTCAGATGGGTCCATGCACTTCGTTTGATTCACGCCCTCGAAGCGAGAGACATTGAGGTCAGTGACGATGGGGGTTAATATTGTCGCACAACATGCAGCGTGCCGATCAATCCTCTTCTTTTCGTCTGCCGTACGGAGTAGTGTTCCTTTTCTTGCCCTGCCTGACCCCGGAAAAAACGACTCGTACAATAAGAACAACCAAAGAATTGGACACTGGAGCTGAAAAAAAAAAGACAAGACAGACGTATTGTATACTCACGTACGGCGGTTGTACAGAGTTATAATTCCCCCGTTCCCCCTTTGCCATCCCCCGGCACACACATACTGCCCATGCAGGTTTGAATTTAAACCCTGCCAATGCACAACAGACAAGTGTGCCTACATAGCCAAGTTGGCAGCCATGTAGTAGTTGTTTTCCTCTTTTTTGGCCGTTGGCAGCCCAAGAGGAGCGAGCGACGCATGCAAGTCAGCCTTATGTGAAATGAACCCCTGCGTCACAAGCATCAACCATGTCATCCGTATACATGGAGAGTACGGAGTATCTACGACCCCTCTTGTTGACATGTTGGTTTTCCTGGTACTATTTCTCCCAGCTGTCTTGGTCATTTTTTTTTTCTTCTTGTCTGCAAATGCAAGAAATCAATGCAACTGACACACGATGCCGTTGTGGCGTCGACAATCCCGCCCCCCCTACGGAAGACTCTGTACACTCTGTGCCCAGAGAGACATCTGGGAACCCACGGCCGAAGAAACGGGCGCGACGGCCCCCAAAGCCAGAGATACAGAAGAAAACGCCACTTTCGTAAGCGGATAAAAAACCTCACTGCCAGGACGTACAACACGTACACGGGTTCCCTGCGAGAGCAGAGGGTCAGTAACAAAAATCAACCCCACGATAATGGTGGGTTGCACAAAACCACGGGCGGGAAGGGGATGAACGCTACAAAGCTGGAGGGAAAACCCAATCATGCTCCCGAGCACACCGGTCGTACAGCCATGTGCCTGTGTTCAGAGACAAAAAAGGCGCCAATCATGTCTTTTGCTTCGCGAGCCCGCCAGTCTCTTTGTTCCCTGCGGTTTTTGTCTTTCCCCTGTCGTCGTGGTATTTATCCGAAGGAGGGAGACAAATTTTAAACCCCGAGGGCGAATAGACAAAGCCCAGCCATGTGCGGCCAGGTCACACGACCCAACCGGGCACAATGGGAGTCGCAATCCGTCAGCTACGAGGAAGAGGTGGCACTCCCTCCGTACGGTAGGTAGGGCAGAAAGAGGGGATCCTTGGTTCTTTCCCCCTTTCACCGTGTGAGGGTGTGTGCTGTGTTGTCTGGCATATTGCAGATACGCGACGGGACGGGAGACGGGACGACGGGGGTGGGGGAGACTGATGTGATTGTATTGCGCATACGTGCGTCACGTCACTCTGGGTGAGTAAAAAAAAGGTGACGCTGGATCTGTGATTATGAACTAAAGAAAAAAAAAACACGAAAAAGTAAAAAAAGAGAGCATTGAATGGAAAATGTGTGACTTGCAGGCTCGCGTAGATGCGAATACTGTGCGGTCCTTCCGCTTTTGCCTTCAGCTCCGCCTGATCGGGTTGTTTTTGCAGCAAGAACGAGAGTCGAGGCTGCCGTATTTTTTTGCTTAACGTGCGTTGGGATGCGGGGCGGCGACGACACACAATCGCCGACAAAGATCATGCTTCGGAATACATTGATATGTCGGCACATGATTTGGGTGAAATGCTTGCATTGCCGTTTCCTTCGCTTCGAGATCGTCTACAGTTTTCTTTCGGCAACTTTACAGTACGCCCAATCTGTACTCAGTGGCCGTGATGTAACGTGATATCAGGTAAGTCGGCATTATTGACTTGACATCCGGCATTGCCCTTCATAGAAACAGCATTCAATCAGAACATCAAGTCCATCGACACAAGAAAATATGCATTGAATGGTATATAGCCCGAACCCGTAAATGTACAAAGGGGCAGCCGCCCGACATCCGCTCTTGCACGGAATACATCTTCAACCTTGAGTCCAAGCCGGGGATGAGCCTTCCCATGCTCAGTCAAGGGTTACACACGCAGCCATCTGTCATCTGTCTCTGCTTTGCTTCCTTCCAACTCCTCCCAGCCCTACTCCACCTGGTGCCGATACCGACGTTTCAACTGTCAACTCCTGATGAATCTGCCTGGGCTGGTGGCGGTGCCTCTGACCCGGATGGCTGTGGATGCGGAACACTGCCCAGACCTGGTGGCTGGGGTGTATCCGAAGGGATTGGCAATACCAGCGGGCCCCTAGGGACAATGCTTCGCCCGGGCAGCTTCTCTCCTCGAATCACCAGCTCCACTTCCTTCTTGTCAAGGGTCTCGTACTGGACAAGAGCTTGCGCCAACAGGTCGAGCTCCTTCCGCTTTTCCGTGAGCAGTTTTCTCACGTCCTCATATAACTTTTTCAGAGTCTTTTGGACTTCACCCTCAATCATAGCTCGAGTTTCGGAGCTGAGATTTTCATATCTTCTGCCGTACTCCACGGGTCCCAGCACATTCGACATGCCAAAGTTGGTGATCATCATGAAACTCAAATCAGTAGCCTTCTCCAAGTCCTACACGGGGCAAATGTAAGTAAATATCAATAAATGCACAAAACAAAATCCTTAACCGGGAGTCCACTTACATTTGATACTCCAGACGTAACCTTGTCGTCACCGTATCTCATCTCTTCAGCCATCTTCCCCCCAAGAAGCACGCGAATGTTGGACATATACTCGGCAGCAGTGTATGAGTACTTGTCCATTTGCGGCACGTGGGCAGTATGTCCCAAAGACGGACCCTTCGGCAGGATGGTGACCTTGTAGAGTCTGCTGGAGCTGTCCTTCTCAAAAAGCTGTACAAGCGCATGGCCGGCCTCGTGATAAGCTGTCATTTCCTTTTCCTTTTCCGTAACAACCATTGATTTCCTCTCAGCGCCCATGGTAACCCGATCAAATGCCCAATCCAGGTCACCCTTGGAGACCACCGTGGCCCTAGCCCTACTGGCTCGAAGGGCAGCGAGGTTGAGCATATTTTCCAGTTCGGCCCCAGATCTTCCAGGAGAGCGAGCAGCAATGGCATCCAAATCAACATCCGGTGCCGCCTTGATCTTCTTGGCGTGGTGCTTCAAAATAGCGAGGCGGCCACGAACATCCGGCAAGTCCACGTTGATGTGACGATCGAACCGACCTGGTCTGGTCAAAGCCTTGTCAAGCAGGTTTGGCAGGTTAGTAGCGCCCATGATGATAATCTTGGTGTCTTGGTCGAATCCATCGAGCTCGGTAAGGAGCTGATTAAGAGTCTGCTTCGCATGTGCCTGATCTCGAGGGTTTCTCTTGCCGCCAATAGCATCTAGTTCGTCGATAAATATGATGGCAGGGGACTTTGCCTTGGCCGCAGCAAAGAGCTCACGCACACGCTTGGCTCCCACACCGACAAAGATCTCATCAAATTCACTACCAGACATGTAGAAGAAGGGCACTCCAGCCTCTCCAGCCACGGCTCGGGCCAGCAGTGTCTTTCCAGTTCCTGGGGGACCAACAAGCAAAACACCCTTGGGGAGCTTGGCGCCTAGGTCAGAAAAGTTTTCGGGGTTCTTGAGGAATTCAACAACCTCCTGCAGCTCTTCTTTGGCCTCATCACATCCATGGACATCACTGAATCGGGTCGTCTGCTTCTCTGCCTTTACCTCCGAGTCCGTCTTGGCTCCAGGTCCACGTCTAAAGGTACTCAAAGTCTCAATAAGAATCGTGACAGCAGCGAAGCAGAGATACGTAACCACAACAAATGTCGCAAAGAATTTGACCCAGCGAAAGATGAGCGACCGCGTTGACTCTTGAAC